GCTTTTTTATTCACATTTTATTTATTTATTCTTTTTTATACATATTAATATGCTGTCGAACTGTTGTATAAACGCAACATCACATGAGTAGCAGTGCGATGTGGCTGTACATCAGCACTGGTGGGGCATTAAGACAACACCTTTGATATACACAATATACAGCTACATTGCACTGCTACTCGTGTGATATTGCTCACTCTCTCTCTCTCTCTCTCTCTCTTTTTCTCTCTCTTTCATTCTCTCTGTCTTTCTATACACACACACACATACACACACAGTTGAAGTCAGAATAATTAGCCCCCCCTTTCAATTTTTTTTTCTTTTTAAAATATTTCTCAAATGATGTTTGGCAGAGCAGGGAAATTTTCACAGTATGTCTGAAAATAATTTTTTTTTTCTGGAGAAAGTCTTATTTGTTTATTTTGGCTTGAATAAAAGCAGTTTTGCAGTTTTTAAACCAAATATAAAGGTCAATATTATTAGCCCCTTTAAGCTATTTTTTTTCGATAGTCTACAGAACAAACCATCATTATACAATAACTTGCCTAATTACCCTAACCTGCCTAGTTAACCTAATTAGTCAAATATTATTTACTGTCATCATGGCAAAGATAAAATATATCAGTTATTAGAGATGAGTTATTAAAACTATTATGTTTAGAAATGTGCATATATATATGTATAAACTACTGCATATAAATAATAGTACATAAAAAAATACATTTTAATTTTAGTCAAAATTTCAACTAACACACTTTTAATGTATGAATATAAATGTTTCAGAATCAATAAAACAATAAAAATAATAATTTAATTCACATTCCAAAGACGAATAAAAGTCATATTAATTTGGAAGAACATTCGAGTGAGAAAATGATGACATGTCTTCCATTTAGGGTGGCTCTAACCCTTGGTAAAAGTATTAGCATCTATGCTAGTTGTTATAACCTAAAAGTTTATGTTGAGGTAAATTGTAAACCAGATTGTTGCAAACTCTGTCCTCACCGATATATCCAGTATACCCTCGACTCTGAGTAAATCTGTCAGCGGATACACTGTAACTTGCATCTGGAAATAAAACTCCAACTTGTTTCAAACTTGCACAGTACACACTTTTTTGCCCGCTCTCAACATCCCATAGTGTTAGGATTGCACACAAACTGCTGACTCAACACACCTGCCATCAGTTTTACAGTCGCGATATGTCTTTTATGTGTCTGCCATATCCTTCAGTGGCTCTGTCTATCAAAATACCTGGCAACCCTCTTCAAAAACCCTCCCAATGTGCCACTGTATTGCTCTGTGGATGTGTAATGACAGAAGACAGACAGCCAAACAAACAGGACAAACAACACACTGATGATGGATAGGATGGAGAGAAGTGTTTTATTTGAAGACGTTCATCTAGAGACAGAATGAGAGACAGAGACACAATGTACACAATCTGGAGATCAACAGACAGATGAACACATGGCAACACGACAGACTACTGAGACAAATTCAGTTTGATGTACAGTACAAACAATCACAGAAGAGAAAGCGGTGCTGAGTGTGATTTTAAGACACGAAAGAACAAAGATCTGGAATGGAAGTCAGGAAATCAATGGGGAAAATGGAAAGGAAATGATTATGATTAAGCTTGGTATTGTGTTGAAGGTACACTTTAGTTGCAAGATGCTCGCAATTAGATATCAAAATTGATGTAAAGATCTTAAAGTGGGTGTTATATTATTTAAACTTCCCCAAATGAATCGTACAGCAAAAAATTGCAGTATTATTTAATTGTTATGAACTGTAAATAGTATGTAATGCTAAACTTTTTATCCTGAAATCGTTCTTATCGCACAAATTACAATAAAATAGAAATCTTTGAATTAAACACTGTCAAACTATATAAATAATGTGCAGCCTGGCACAGTTTCACTTATAAAATCTGAGTCATCTTAAGGCACGAAGTGGTTTCACTGCTGTGCCATCTAAAGACCTGATACAGTAAATATGCAATACACCATACAATAATACTGGCTGTTATTAACAGACTGACATATACAGGATACATTTTCATGATGGAGATGTACTAAAAACAAAAAAGAGGATATTGTCAAAAAAAAAAAGGCCCAATCCTAATTCTATTTTGGTACCCCTACCCTTTCTCCTTGGCCCTTGAAACAGAGTGTGAAGGGGGAGGGCTTTTTCTCTCTACAACACCTGCACACGTCATCATGTATCATCTCTTGCTTCATATGTGATAGACGATTACGACTGTTGTAGTTATTCCAGTTGTGTTATTTTTTGGTAATTATCTTCAGAAAATCACTGAAGGCAACAATATCATGTTATAATGTGGCAATAAGACTGTAACTGTACTGTGTATTTACACCATGGTCAAAATCATCTATGTAGAAACGCAAAAACAACAACTAAACTTTTCTGACAGGGTATTCGAGTGTCATTGAGTGTCAGAATGTTGTGGGACTGCTATACAGAAGTTATTAGCAGGGCTTGACATTAACTTTTTTGATCACCAGCCACTGTGGCTTGTAGATTTCCAACATTACTAGCCACTCGCCATTTTTACAAGCCACACTTTTGTTAATATATTCTATATGCGTACATTTGACTTTGATTTGGATGTTGTGTTGTCCACATGCCGCTTGTTCATTACACTTTTTGTGTGTGTTGTGTATGAGCTTGCTCAATGTGCAGGAGCAAATGGGTTGTGTTGCAATTGCAATCAGTTTTTATTTCACATGACTTTTCAGGGCTCAAAAGGATTTACCAAATTTATCTCCGACCACAACAAAAATAAATAAATAATTATTTTTTAGCCACAAATTTTAAATGTGTCAAAACAAAGAAAATTTAGCTGTATACGTGCACTTTTTTGTTCAACACCTGATCTTTTTTTTTTTTTTTTTAAATTACATTTAAAAAATAACTATTGTCATATATCTAAAATATGCACAGTAATCTGACCTGGCTAAAGGTCCCAGATCAGCAGTTAACTGCACATGAACAGGTTTTTTTTTTTTTTTAACATTTGCAGGCATCACATCAGCTGTGCATGAGTGATCATCCTCTCATTGCGTATTCACCTGCTTTCTTTTGCTCATGCAATCAGTTTTTTTGTCAGTCGTGCTGTTTCTCGATTCTAAGATCACATTTGCACGAATATTGAGCCATGGTTGTTGTCAAATCCTGTTTGTAATAAAACTACAATATAAACATTATTTTCAAACAGTCAAAGTGGCTAGTAGGAATGTCTGTCTAACCCGCCACAGCTTACATTTACACGCATTTGGCGGGTTGTCGAGTGTTAATGTCAAGCCCAGGTTATTAGGGATTACAGAGACCGAAAGAGCGAGGAGGGATGCGGTGGGGAGGGGTGAGATGGGTGCGCGATGTATTTGAGGACCGGGAGGGAGACGCGCGATTTCCGGGAGATTACGTATCCTATTATATATCCACAAAACACTGTGATATAGCCGGGCTCGTATTGTAACACTTTCTCGCTACAATCAATCCGTTCCAGAGTTCAGTTCAATCGAGCAAATACCACCTCATTACAGTGATCTCGGACTGATTGTTTTGGTGCGAATCAGAGTGCGATTCACAGATGTCAAACAAACCGCGCTAACAGGGTAAATGGTTTCGAATGTGGTACTGAAAAATCTTCATTTCAAGGGCTATCTAGCTCTTCCCCTTAGCCCTATGCCTTCAATTTAAAGGGAATTGAGAAACCCCTACCCATTCACACAACGCACACAATAAGGGGTAAGGAGAAGGGCTAAGGGCTAGAATTGGGATTAGGTCTAAAATGGCTGTCTTTTGCATGTCAGGCCAGTAGGTGGCGATGTCACTTTGTAAAGAAAGACTAAACGTCTGTGTAGATGTAATCCAGTAGTCCACTATTATTGCTTTGGTTGTGAATTACCACACCTGTCCCTCCAGGATTTTGCTGAGGCATTTTGTTAAAATATTTATGACTTAATGGTCTTGTGAAATTAAAATTATGTTTTTATTTTAGACGTATCAGTATTTTAATGACATCTATAAGCTAGTGTTCTTCAAAACAGAAACAAAATTAGCGTTTAGAAGATGTATAAGAACTAATATAAACATGTAATGCTTGCAGTTCGTCACTTCCGCCTAAATGGATCATTGGTTTTTATTAACATCGTCTCATACTTCAGTTTCTCAACAAGTCCTGACCAATCAAATGTATCTGACATGCCTCATCCCCCTCAAGACACTTCTCATTTGCTTTTCATTTGATGCACTTGAGCTCAACCACTCTTGCTGGCAGTGTGGTGGTAATACAACATGCTATTGACAGTTTACTTCAAAGGGGGAGGAGCTACACTATGTCACACCCTTTCTTCATGTTTCGGTCAAACGTCGAATAAAACATCAAACATTAAATAAAAATGTACATTTCAAAGCACTTCACGGGACCTTTAAGAAGTTTGACTCCTTTTCCTAAAACTTATGGCATAATTTGCTTCAACTCTTGAGTTTTACTGTGAATTCATAATGTTAAAAAATATATATATTTTTGCATATCACAAAGTCCTGAAGGGACAGACAGTACATGCATAATGACTTCAGTGTTTGAAGCCAGTGTTTTTGTAATATTCATGGAGATGATAATTGTATTTTCAAAATTGCATTTTGACACCCATTTAAAAAAAAAACAGCCCGCAAAAGACTTTACCAAAAGAAGTTACCAAAATGCATACCAGGTTTGTGTTTTTAGTTAAGAATCATGTCTTGTAATTCCGCCACATACACGTACTTAATGTGTGTATAATTGTAATTAAAAAATATTTATTCATATCATAATTTTAAAGCTCTATCAAAACAGCATTCCATTCCTCTGTTCACTCGTTGTCACCCCAGTCTACCTCTGGCTCATCGTCTAAGCGCAGAATGAGGTAGGAGAGAAACTGGAAGAGGTTTTGCCAAAACAGAGCCGCCATGTAAAAGTAAAGGTCGCTTACGTCCACTTCGCAGGTCTCGCCGGCAAAAGTCATTTCACAGACGCATTGGAACCTGTTGACCATGTTCTGGCAGTAGCCGCCATTCTTGCAAGGATTGGATCTACATTCATCAAGTTCTAGTTCACACCTGTACGACAAATATATAGTAATTTTGATTGTGAATATGAGCATTGTAAAATTCATTCCAAAATTGGTTCTGTCATGAGCAAATTTAGAGTGCACTGAATATTCATAGCTACTACCCTCCGATTCATTAACATGTATGTATCCGAACAAAGAAAGAAAGGGAATAATCACCAGTGACCCGAAAACCCAGGGTGGCAGTCGCACGGCATGTTGGTGTCAGAACAGTTCCCCCCATTGAAACATGTGTAGTTCTGCTGTTCATCGCCACAGATGGACACCGGGAGCTTTGGCGGTCTGGGGAAGGGGAGGATGAGGGAAAAGAAAGAAGAATAACAGATGATGAAGAAGCCATGCTCTCCTCTTGAGAGTCATGTAAGGGGCTTCTACCTACTACCCCCAGCCACAACCCCCTGCCTTATCCGGCACAAAAAAGAGGATTAACCCACTATTAGAATAATGACATTTGCATGTGAATGGACCTCTGACCAAATAACAAAGAGAACACAATAAATCGGAGCCTTGTCTTGGGATTAACATACTGCTAATATGAGGACTGCCTACCCCCCACCCCTTGTTGTTCTGTATGTACGAATATATGATATGACAGATTAAAAAATTTTAGGGAGGAAAATAGTACTTGTTGTGCAAAAAGAAAGCAAGGAGAAGGAAAGGAAACATGAAGAATGGAAGGGATAAAGGAAGGGATATGGTGCAAGTATTTCATAAGATGGAAGGAATGGTAAAAGTGAGAAAGAAGAGGAAAAAGAAAAAATAGGACAGTAGAATAGAAGGAAGGGGGAAGATTAGGATAAATAGGAAGGAAAGGTGCATAAAGGGAGGCAGGAAAGAAGGAAAAGTGTCAGGGGAAGGAATGGAGAAGAAATGGAAAAAATTAGAAGAGAAGGAAGAAAAGAATGAATGGATGGTTGGAGAGAGGGAAGTATAAAGAAATAAAGACATGAAGGAGGAAAGATTAGAGAAGAGTATTGGGATGTCGAACAAAAGGAAGGATGTGAGAAGGCAAGAAACAAAGGGGAGATGAAAGGTAGGGTTGAGAAAAGAAGATAGAGATGCAAGAAGATAAACAGAAGAAGATAAGAAAAAAACTAAAAAGAAAGGGTAGAGAGAAGAAAAGGACACAAAGGTAAGTATGGATCAAGTGAGGATGAGAAAGAAAAGGTTAATGGATGAGAGAATAAAATAGAGGGAATTAAAAAAGAAGGTAACTAAGGACTAAATATAAAAACGAAAGTCAATAGCAAAACGGCACTTACATGTTCCTGACAACTACGTACCACGGAACCTCTTCAATCTGAATGCTGTTGTGAGACAGAGGGAACAGGAAAGAGACAAACAAACAGCAAGCGTCATTGTTTTTTTATGCTGCAAAACTTTACACCAAAGATCTCTCTAACTCTGCAGTGGGGAAAAGCTAGATCTATTATGTCTCCCGGCTGCCTGCAAGGCAGTTTCAAAGGAGTGCTATGAAGAAGTCTGGCAACAAAACATGTTTATGAGATAAATGGCTGCAGACTTGCCTTAGATGCCACCCAGAAGGCCTAACGTAACCACTGGAGGATGGGCACTCTCGACAGAGACTATTATTACCATTACCTCTTTCAAATGACACGTATGGCAACAGACACATCTCCGCAGTCACACTAGCATAAACAACACCATAAAAGCAATTATACGATTTGCATTACCTCAATAACAAATCAGTCCCTTAGGGGTCTTGATTCATTCAAGTTGCTTTGATGGGAATCATTCTGTGAGGTTTGTGGCCTGTTTTAGTGTACAAAGTCTACATTTCTGTTTTGCATTCTCTTTTCTTTGAAAAGTGCGCTAGCTTCTTGAATTTAGAAACAGCTTTTTAACACCGGGTTGATATATCTGAGATAAGTCTCTTCACTTGGTTCAATGTTCTGCGGAGGGGGCAAACATTATTCCTAACGGATGAACCTGTGGATTGCTTAGGAGTAGATGCCTCAAATCACATCTATGAATCAATACAAACTCTGCAAAGTCTGCTAAACTTAGACGGCAACTCCTAAACCACCTTGCCTAGCAAAACTCACCATCACAGTGTAAAGGTTTTGATGACAACTTACTAGGCAAAGCTAGAAGAGCTCTCATGATTAAATACAAAACAATGGTCCTTAGATGTGTTTTAGGGTCCCTTGTTTTAGTCCCCACGTGTCAAGTCCACATGCGTTGGCAGGCAACTGTATCTTTCTTCAGCAGCACACGATTTAACGGATCACAACAATGGAACTGAAGGAGCCAATTACACCTTAACACTAAAAGAGTTAGAACATGTTTCCTCAGATCTGGCTCTGGAAGGCCACTGGATAAGCCACTGGATCAGGTAAGCTTCAACCCTAAGTGACACCTACGGAATCTAATCAAGGCCTCTGAATTATTCGGAATTTTCCTGATAGGAAATACTTTATAATAGTTTAAAAACTAGCACTAGCCTTAAGTCTTTACTACAGGAATCTTAGGTCGGGGATCGTTTGTACTCCTAACCTTAAGTAACCCTAAATAACTTCTTGACACACATTAGAAAATACTCACTTGCAAAGTGGCCCAGTAAACTTGTCGGTACAGAGGCAGGAATACATGTTGAAGCCACGCAAGCAGGTCGCTCCATTAGCACACCTGTGCCCAGCACAAGCATCCACCTTCATCTCACAGTTGGTGCCAGTGTATCCGTCCTCACATGTGCAGTTGTATGTGAGGTCCTGCACACTACAATATCCATGTCGACAGGGGTTGGAGGCGCAGGTGTTTGTATTCAGCTCACAGTGATCACCGCCCCAGCCAGGAAGACAGAAGCAGTGAAAAAGGTTGAAGTGATCGTCACAGATGCCTCCATGCAGGCAGGGATTGGGCTCACACACCACCTCCCCGAAACAGCCGGTTTGAACAGGCTCCTCGGATATCTTATTGAACATTTCTTCCTGTGTGCGTGGAAATCTCACCTCAGTCTGTCCATAATACGGAAGCACGATTCCACCAATCTCAACATTACTCAAGCAACCAATGAGATTGGAGCCAGAATCAGGGCCTAGTCCTCCTAGCATGATGTACACGCTCTCTCTGAGGAAGTCTAGATTTCCGGTCATAGAGTCTGATTTAGTAGGCTCATCTTTTTCATCTAGGGGGACCATAATCCAGTGGGAGCTGTTAGACCCTGGAGTGGCCATTAACAGCTCTATAACATGCCATTCCCCATCAGCGACTACCCTTGGGCTGTGCAGGGTTACTGGTGACAATGAGGATGAAGTAGTAGGTCCACTTAGAAGCTCAAGAACCAGAAATCCATCTTGAAGAGATACAGTTACAAACTCTGATCCACTCTCTGCATGCAACACTATGGCATTGCGCTTACGTGTACGGATATTAAAGACAATACTGGTCAGATGGCGGGATATCAGCCCATTGCCTTGGTATACAAGTGTGGTGTTCTCCTGGAAAGTCACGTTTGAAATGCCTGCATAGAAATAAAGGCAGAAATAGTTTAGATGTAACTTCTTGGATGAAGATAACTATTTGCAATACAATCTCATTTGAGGCTTACAACACGTTTTCAGCAAATTTGCTACAATTTATAGCCCTTGACTTGAATTAAGAAGTCGAGTTCCATACACATGAGATTAGGTGTCATAAAATACTCACATTCATAGCCCTGGTTTAGGGCCCGGCATATTGCTTGTGGTGGGCACGGGTTGAGGTCACACCAGCTCACCTCCTCACAGTGTTGTCCTGATGTGTTAGGAGGGCAGTTGCAAGTAAAATCATCCCATGAAGAAAAGCAGATGCCACCATTTTGGCAAGGATTTTTCTGTAATGAAAAGATTATTATTAAGTTAATATTAAAATGATTATTAATATGTTTAAAGATATAGATTTAAAGAGATTCTGAAGTAGTGAGATCAGGTGTTTTAAGAAACTTTGGTAATCTTAAATAGCCCCTATTATGGCCCCTTCGATGTAATGTATAACACAGCTTTATGTGAATGAAAACAAACAGCTAATGTTTATTCTCATATTAAGCTATAGTCTTGATTAAAAAAAAAATAAATTAAAAAAAAGAGTAAACTCAGAGTTACATGCATTCGGATTTTTAGCCATGTAGTTTTTGATATCTGACCGAAAAATAGTCCTGCCCACTTGTTCCGTGTGCAGACCCAGGAATATTTGAACCCACCCATGCCCTCTCCCATTTACTTTTACTTGTATGGTTTGAGCCACACAGATCAGAACGGACCTCTGTCGAGCTTGCATGTGACGTGGTCAAAATTCAAAATAGTTCAAATTTTGCAGCTTTGTTGGTCAATTAATACGGAATGTATGGCATTGTTGTTACTATGAGTTTTGGTTAAGAATAGAGCAATATAGCTGGATGTGCTTCAACACTGTCAACCAATCAAAACAGACTGTGTCATCAGACCAATCAACGCAGACTAGCATCACACAATGGAGGGGTTTGGAAAAATGAATCACTGAACTATTAATATGGGAGTCATAGGGATAATTTGATAAAAATAAATGTGATAAAAACAACAAAAGTGTTTTTTGATTGTACATGCTAATCAGCCTGTTGCTGGGAATACCCAAAACTAAACTATGACCTTGTACAATCCATTATAATCCATAGGAGCACATTAACATTATTATGGTGGCTTGAGAAAGCCAACATACTGTTATACAACATAAACTTATTATTCTTCCGTATTTTTCTTCTGAGACTAATTTCTATATGCATCTCCTCCTAGACCATTCATACTACAACCACCAAACTTACTCCAGACCTCCAAACTTGTCTGACTCGGCTTGCTATATCTTTTCCAACTGATCCCACTTACAGTTTTCCGAAAACTGACGCGAAAATTTCGGGAAATGTCCCATTGAATTAACATTGGACCAAACTTTGTGACCTCAGACAACCAATCTGCCAATCTCTGATGACCTTTACATTTTTTAGCCACACCCTAGCAAACACTTACAGCACCCTAGCAACTGTCCAGTAGACTTCCATTGTAAAAAACCTCCATTGACTTTACATTGGACATACTAACAACATACCAATTGTTGCTAAAATGTACTGATCTATACTAGAAACATACTAACAAACATATTAACAATACCAATTTATACTAAAACATACAAACATACAAATCATACTAGCAACATGCTAATTTATACTAAATACAGGCTAACAACATGTTAATTTATGCTAGAAACATGCTAGCATAATGCTAATTTATACTAGAACCAAGCTAACAGCATGTTGATTTATGCTAGAAACGTGCTAGCATAATGCTAATTCATAACAGAAACATGCTAATTTATGTTAGCAAATACCTAGCAACCAATTCAATTTATCTTAATTTTTATAGCGCTTTTACAATGTAGATTGTGTCAAAGCAGCTGCATAGAAGATTATAGTAAATTGAAACCATCTCAGTTCAGTTTTCAGAGATGAAACAACTCAGAACACCTATAACAACGTCCTAGCAACACATTAGAAACCACCTAGCAATGCCTTAGCACCCACCTAGCAACCACTCAGAACACCATGCCAACCAACAAGAAAACCCTAACAATCACTCAGAAAACTCTAGCTACCTCTAAGCAATGTCTTAGCAACTGCCTAGCAACACCCTAGCAATGCCTTAGCAACTGCCTACCTAACAACCACTTAGAACAAGTTTTCTAACTACATTGAGGCATGGTTAGTGGAAACTTTACTTATATATCTATAAATAAATATATAAAAGCTTAGCTTATTTGATTATAGCATTTTTTATGTACTCACTTAAAAACGTTCAATCAAATCATAACAATTTCTGTTGCCTTCTGTTATTTAGATTAGTTTCTTATGTCATGAATGTAAGGATTTAAGCATGACAACCGAGAGCCAAATGAGATAAGCTGATCTTTTTTTCCAGATACAGTAGCTGCCAGATCTGGTGTTATCTAATCGTTGTACAGTTGCAGTTGAAATCTCATGAGACTTCTCATTGTAACTTACTGAGCAAGTGTCATCACTGGTGCAGCCTGCAGTAACTTTCACAACGCGATCGGGTTTGTACGACATCGCAGAAGTATCAATTGGGAAAAACTCAAGCTTCTTCTCATTAAGCTGCAAGTCTTGTAGACAACCTTTAAAATGTCCACCAAACGCAGTTAAGGCTTGTACATCAAACAGGCCACCGACATTGATCGTATCCCCAAACTGAATGGAAACAGGTTGAACATATGTTGCTTCGAATTCATGATCCGAGTCCTGCAGAGTCATCATGCCATCCTCGATGGTGACACTGACAAAATGTCTCTCACCATCATTAAGCACCCTTTCACCAGTCACAGTCTTCAAGTTGTTGACTTGAACTGTCAGTTTTCCCTTTTCCAGCCACATCTGCAAGTAGTCAGAGGTGCTGTTGGCCAGCAGCACCAAAAGACCAGAGTCTTTTCGAGTACGCAAGAACATGGACAGATGAAGTGTTTCCGAGTCAGGTTCGTCATTGATGGTGAAGACAGCATAGCTTGTCGAGTCTTGCTGGGCAAATCTGGCGGTAATATACTCTGTGTAAAAAAGAAAAGACATACATCATACATCTTGAAGGAATAGATCATATAATTCTTCTACATTTATTTGAAGACTATCACTAGCTATGCTCCCTTTTGGAATATTGCATAAGAAATGCTTAATAAAAAGATCTGCATACATTTTTAGAATGCGGATACAAAATAAAAAAAAAACATATGTGCACAACTGAGTAAGATAAACTTAAGGATAGGAAGAAATGTTCATAAACTATGATGGAAACTCATTTACTGACTAACCCTACTAACTGTACTAACCCTTACCCTAACCTAACCCTCTAACACAGGGGTGTCAAACTCAATTCCTGGAGGGCCGAAGCCCTGCACAGTTTAGTTCCAACCCTGCTCCAACACACTTACCTGTAGGTTTCAAACAAGCCTGAAGGACTTAATTAGTTTGATCAGGTGTGTTTAATTAGGGTTGGAACTAAACTGTGCAGAGCTGCGGCCAGGAGTTTGACACCTGTGTTCTAACAGATCATGTTACAACAAAAAGTATTAGTAGAAAAAACAGCAGATCGACCACATTGTAAAACATCTGAAATGTTGTTTTGGGCATTCATTTTGCCATTTGGCCATCCCTCAGCCAAGACAGACACAAGTTTAATGTACATGTTTGGATAAAAATGTAGCTATTTTATTTACACCAGTAGCGATCAAGGCATAGTTCTGTTGTTTTCTTAAAGAGCCCCTATTATGAGTTGTTGAAAATGACCTTCCATACAGTGTGCAGCCCTAAGTGGATGAAAACATCCAGCTGAGGTGTAAATCTGAAAGTGCACCTAGTTTAAAAATATAGATTTTTTAATAAAAGTTTCAACTTAGAGTTGTTTAAATGATTAGTTCGTCTGGATCTTTTGCATGTTCGTAACGATGTCGACACGAAACAATACCAAATATGTTCTGTGACAGATCAGCTAAAACGTGAACACGCTTTTCCCACACAACGCTAACAGTGTGGTTGTGTGTGGGACTGATTATGTCTTAAGATGAGTGAACATCAATGAGGGAACGTTCTGGTGATTAATACAATAATTTAACCTGCAATGGGGGATTTGTTGGACATTTGTTAAAGAAAGGATCATAATCAATCCATAGTCTTTATTGATGTATTGGACTTTGTCAAAGCTTGACAGGAACTTTACAGTGCACGGTTCATGGATCAGTTTCCTCGTCCATTTCACAAATTAAAGTGTGATTAAAATTGTTGCCTCCTTGTTTTCTCTATATGGCAAAACATGAATTAAATTGTGTTTTGTTACATTGGATCGCTCCACTCTGCTTGTACTGTTATTGGTTAACCTATTAAGAATGTAGCAATATGCTGGTGTTTAATTGCATTGCTTTAATACACTCCTGCATTGGGCTCACACATATACTCAGCTCTCCGACTACTTCAAAAATCGATATGCTATGGTGGGCATTTCTCTCTGTTTCGCGCTAAATGCAGTCGCCCAATCGCAACAGACTGGGTCATTGGACCAATCAGTGCAAATTAGCATTGCGCTAAGGAGGGGTTTGGGGACAAATGAATTGCTGTACGAATCATATGAGAGTCGCTGGGATAATTAGGTGAAAATAAATGCATATTATACGACAATGAAAGTGCTTTTTGACCTTGCATGCAAATTAGCCTGTTGTTGGAGACCCCCAAAACCAAAATATGACCCTTTATAATGCATTATAGGGGCTCTTTAAAAAAAATTGCAACACTTTAAATGCTTCTAGTGTAGACTTAGTTAATGGAAGGTCAATTCTTGGTGTCCTTACCCTCATCACAGTTTTGACCCACATATGGGCGCAGACATTTGCACTGGTAACCTTGCCAAAGGTTAACACATTCTCCATGGTTCTCGCATGGACCAGAAAGGCATCGGTCATGATGGCTACAGCCCTGCACAACATTTACAGCTGAGCTGCTCAACCAGTCCTCCGGTATCATCAGCTGCGAGTCCACGAGCAAGTCCCTCATGCAGCCGATGAATGATCTGGAGCTCCCTCCCTCATCCAATCCTCCAACAAAGGTGCTTAGTAGGGCTGACTCCAGCTCAAGGGCGCCGATCTTTACTTGGGCTGTTGTACCACAGTTTTGTCCACCCTGGCATGGCTCCAGCAGCTGCAGCAGCAGGGTACCCTCTCCAAGTACGGCTTCTACTGTGTGCCATTCACCATCAGATACAACCTGAGGCAACATCAGAGTCCAGCTGGTTGCGTTTGGCTGAGGGTCAGTCTTAAGATCAAGAATCAGGTGTGTCTCCTGTATCTCCAGGCTGAGTGTGACCCCTCCGCTGCCCCTTTGGAAGAGCACTGTGTTCTCCAGGACTGTACGAAAGCTTAGCGTGATATTGAAATATGTTTCTGCACCCAGCAGCGGGGTCTGCAGGTGCAAGAATGCTCTGCTTGTCTCAAAGGAGAACACAGTGAGCGTTTGGCAGTAAGAGCCGGTGTAGCCAGGCTGACAGATGCAACTGTATCCATGTACACCTTCGCTGAGGAATGGGATGCAGGACGCTCCGTTCTGGCACTCGTGACCTTCGCAACCTGTAAGAGGCTCGCTACAGTTTCGACCACCGTAGAGGACTCCATCTTGGCTTTCAGAAGGGCAGATGCACTTGTAGCTGCCTAGGAAGTCTTCACATGTGGCTCCATTATGACATGGGCTGGTGGTACAGGCAGTTGTGTTTTGCTCGCACAAGGCACCTGGAAGAGGAAAAACAAGAGTAGAGTTCAGTCAAAGGTCCTGACAAATACGCACTTAGCAAGGATTGTTGCCTTAGGATAAACTGTTCTTACTGAAATTGTAAGCCAGGTTCTGCAAGAGTTTATCCTTACAACTATTTGTTGCATCTGTGCCAATGTCAGAGAAGAGTTTGTAACAAAAGAGTAGCTCATGCCAAGGTAATGTAGGGACATTTTAGTCAATAATCCCATGGGTAAACAAATATACAAAGTTGGTTGCATAACACTGATGTAACTCTATGCTAAGATGACTGCCAACCGAGTATTTTTTATTTCTAGCAACAAGTTCCTGAAATAGAGATGTAACTGTTAATATTACATCCCATGGAAATTCATAAAGTAAAGAGCATTAACTACAAAACCTGGTTATCTTAAGTCATTGCAAGTTCATTGTAGGTTCAAACAAAGTTTTCTCCAACGTAATTTAATCGACCACCATAATTGAATTATAACCTGTGTAAACTTGAAAAGACAATAAAAATGTACCTGAAATGAGTAACAGTACACTCCAAATCCCAACTACAACTTCCATGGCATTAGTAGTTCCTATTCAGTGGTCACAAATCTGCTCAGTCACTTTTTGATGGGTCCGTCAATTGCAAAGGCCATCCTAACACCCTGCCGTCAATGTACATTCCCTCCTTCAAGACAAACTGTGTACTGAAGCACTAGGCCTGCATGAAAGTCAGCTCCTGGGGGATTAGCTTAATGCAACCTGAGCACCTTACAATGGCGAAGCCCATTTATAGCCTCCGCCTCTCTGCCATATCCTGAGCTGATAAACTTGTGTTCAGAAGGAAAGACAGTTTTTTTCTTTTTGTACAATCTATAAGGTTAAACTACATCTCTGGGGTTTCTCAGAAAACCAGTAGAGTGAATTTTTGCTGTAAGATGTGTGGTGTAATGGCTGCTTTGGTTTTGTTTCAGTTTGAAATCTAATATTGTGATGATGTTCATTGTATCCAAATATACAAATCTCATATATGGCAATATATGCAAATCACATAAATGACATACAAGCTCATGTTGAGACTTCAAATGTGCCATCAGGTTTGCCTGAATATTCCACATGAAAAAAAAAAAAACTGAAGTAAATAATACTACTATACTACTGTAGTGCTTTGAACCATACTACAGTAATATGTTATACTGTTCATTTATTCATTCATTTTCTTTTCGGCTTAGTCCTTTATTAATCAGGGCTCGCCACAGCAGAATGAGCCGCAAACTTATCCAGCATATGATTTACATAGCGGATGCCCTTCCAGCAGCAACCCAACACTGGGAAACACCCATACACCGGGAAACCCACGCGAACACATGGAAACTCCAGAAATGCCAACTGACCCAGTCAGGGCTCGAACCAGCGACCTTCTTGCTATGAGGCGCTTCATATTATACTGTCTATTACATTATTTACAACTCTTTGTTAATGAATGGTGCAGCATAATGTAGTATTAACTATAGCAGCAACTATAGAATTACCACAACAGATTTGTTTATTATATTATCAATATTTACTATAAATTACTATTGTATTTTTTATAGTATGCGTGATGTGATGCTAATCTTAAATTTGGTACAGTCGACATGTAGCCCAAATTTCCCAACAGCACACACAATGTAGGCACAACATGTATGCTTTAAATTAATTTGAATTAAAAAGTAAACAAAAGTTAAGAAAATAACCTACAGTTTTCCATGTTTTGAGGACATTGCAGCTTTTAAATATATTTCATGTGTTACATTTATTCTGAAGTGAAGTATTAAAAATTTTAAATTTTTTTTAAATGAACAAAGATCCAAATTTATACTTTCAGTGTATCCAGCCTGATCTCCCAAGAAAACATAAGCATTTTTTTGTTTTGTCAGTTCAGAGGCTAATTCATAATAATTACTGCGAATAAAAAACAAATGAGTCGGTCAAATGTTTTATTCTACAATAAACTACAATGGAAACATTTATTTTCACTTTTGTGGAAGACTCTTTCCATCCGTTACATGGTGCCGTTAAGGGCGTACATGCCAAAGCATGCTTGTTGCCCCTCCCGTCCTCCTTGACGGCCCATCCTCATATTGCATACGGGCCTGAGCATGCTTACATCATCAATGATGCGCTGTTCAGTAAGCACTTTCGCTCAGCACAGTGGAGATTTCTTTAGTAATATTGTTTTAGTGGTTTGATATGTTGTGACACGCTGTCAAATATTTCACCGAGCAGATCAGCCACTGTTGACGCTCATAAACAATCATAAAGTCCTCGTGGTGCAGCAATTAGGAGGGTTTCTGAAGGTGCAGCTGTTGTGCAATGAGGGGTTTGCGTCTTTAATAATCTACGATAGTTTGCGTTCATTAAACAGTAAGAATGATTAATTAATCCATATCAAACAGTCCCTTAAAAGTCACATCTCGTCGTCAGTTTCAGGCTCAGGCTCGCTTTGCACTCACACTACAAGAGTACCACGCCAAAACCCAAGTGAACCGCGCTCTGGCAAACGTCTTCCAACCGGGCAAGGGCTGGCCAAGTGAACCATGCCTGAGCCCAATTCAGAGCACTCACACTTCTTAAATAATTCGGGAAAGGGGCCTGGGCACGGTTCGGATAGCATAGTGTGAGTACGCCCTGAGTTACTTCCATTTTGCAGACAGTATATAGTCCTCTTAGCAAAAAATTACAAGACGACGTTTATTTCCACTGCCATTGGTTTTTTAAATAGGGTCTTAAATGAATAATGAAAGTGTAATAGGTTTTGAGTGTGTGAGCCTCTGTCTAGAGACCGTTTTCTAACCCCATGTGGGGATATAGACAGTAAAGTTTATTAAATAGAATTTAATTTACACTTAAAAAGGCTCACAGTGGCTTCTATGGCTGCTAGTTTATTAGAATGGATGATTTTGTTTTATTTGACTTGCTGGATGGAAAGGGTGCTTTATTTGCGAATGCTTTGTGCAATATTCTGGTTTTGTGCATAAATCGAATTCACGTCTTTGGATGAAAACCTAGCCAGTGTCCAAACATTTTTTAGTATTTAGACTGAAACCCTACAGTGACCACCTTTCATCAGCAGAAAGTCTTGAAAGGAGCATGTTGCGCGGACAAAAAACAGAAAGTTTAATTTAATTGGGTCCGACAGGAAAACATAATTTTTGTCCTCAAACAAAGAAAAAACTTAACCCAAACTAGGTAAAGAATTAAAACATGGACGTGAAGAGACAAGATTTGAGTGATGTTTTCTGCAGAAGGAGCTTGGTCTTTTATTAAATGAAATTGCAATATAGAGTGAACATAAATGTTTCCACTAGAGTTTGTCCACAAAGTTTTACAATGATACCCATCCTGCTTTATTTAGAATGCTTTTGTTAATGTATGTGTAAATAAATGAGTTTGTAAGTCTGCAGGTACCTGAGAATCCTGGCGGACACTTGCAGATGAACCCGGAAGCAAGTCTGGGATTGTATCTAGCTGTAAACAGGGGCTCAGTACCGTAAAGTGTTTTCCAAGAAAGCTCCATGCAAATGCCTTCATTCACACAGGGATTGCTTTCACATTCACTGACGTCTACCTCACAGTTACGCCCTTCAAACCCTGGAACAACACAAATATGACAGAAAGCCTCATGATGCTGTGGTATACGCACATCAATATACACAATTTTTGTGACACTACAACAATGATTACTGTTTTTACATTAATGTGAAGATAGGTTTAGGCTAGGGGTATAGATGTTAATAAAACACAATGTAATGAATCATTTAATGTATAATATAAATAATTCTTGTTAACTTTGAGCCAGAGCAGTATTCCTTCTACACACTAAAAAGGATGTTTGTTCAAACTACTCATTTTAAATGAGCTGAAACAACACAGTTCTTAAGTTTTTTTGGGGACAACTTAATTGTTTTATGTGTAATTGACTAAAATTTGTAAAAACTAATAAGTTAATTTAATTCTTTCATGTTGTACCAATAAAATCGATTAAGTTACCTTAATTATTTTTATAAATGTAAGTGGATTGAACATAAAACAATTAAGTTGTTCAAAAATAAAACGTAAGAACTGACATCTGTAGTTGGAATAAAACAAAGAAAATACTATGGGAGTCAATGGTAGTCTCCCCCCAAGATTTCTTTGTGTTCTACAGAAGAAATAATCTCCCAAGTGGAGCATGAGTAACCCTTTACTTTTTTGAATGATTTGTAACTTTAAGGGGATTTCTGAAATTAAAGATTGAGAGACCCCACCCATTGACTTGTGTCCTCTGTAGTGGACATTGTGTTTTCATGAATTTTTTTAGAATTTTTTGAGCTACTCTGTCAAGTCCTGTTGTACTGTTCAGAGGACATCCCGGGCTTTCTGGTGATATGTCATTTGATTGGCTGGCATGCTAGGAACCACTTCTTACACTTCATCCAAAATGGCCGACATAAAAAAAGCACATTTCATGAAGAGGAGAGAAGTATGTAAACTTTAACTTTTTAAAAGTTTTTTTTTTACTATTATTATTAGATATATATGTTTATTAAAGTGTCAGGAACAATATATTTAGCTTTCAAAGCAGTTAACTTGTTTGTGTTTCAAAATATCATCCTTTTTAAAATGTCCACTATAGTGGACAACAGGAACATCTTAATGTAATTAGTGACTGCATGTTGTAGGAGGCAGAACTGAAGCAGAGATGATAAGATAGTTGAGGGGGACTCTGACAAAGTTTGACAATCAGAGAATTAGAGACAATTAGTGAATGACAATCAGTTTTAAATCACTTTTATTTTAAATTTATTTTGAATTAACATCACTTCTTCTTTTTTTTTGGCTCTCTCAGACTAAGCTGTTTCAGGAAATTAAAAATAAAAGGAAAAAATGGCTTTTGTTTAATTTTTGTTACATTAATATTGGATTAATATCCCTTTACAGCCACATCCTGGACAGCTTTGTTGTCTGAGTTTGGCGGTCGTTTCAAACTAAAATGGTCCCGTGGTCCACTACAGTGGGCATGCTGTAAAATTAAAAATAAAAACAAAATGTAAAAACTCTAAATAAAACTTTTTTTAAGCCAAAGGATGTAGGGAATCACAGAAAAAAATGGGTCTCAGGAGGATATTAGCCTACATAAACATTTTTAATCAGATGTTACCAGATACATTTCCAAATCCAATCCATCAATTCCGTTTAATGCAAAATCATACTTTAACTTGATATACAAGTCATTCTGCGAGTCACCTGGCCAGCAGTTGCAGGTGTAGTTCTCCTGTTGATTCTCACAGAGGGCGCTGTTGAGGCAGGGTTGAGACCAGCAGGGCGGAGGCGGGATCTCACAGTCAACACCAGTGAAGTTAGCAGTCTGTGAGCAGTCACAGCGGTAGCTACAACATATAGGCTATACTATTTATACATGCATGCATATTTCACTACCAAAATTATCTTACATTTGCTGTGTTATTATATTACAATAGGTGAAGCTAATGAGAACACATTCCAGCAATGAAAAACACTATATGAATTAACCTATTTTAGAATCATTAAGATGGTTACTGCAGTTTATTTAAGCAGTGTGTTAAGCACTGGTTGGCTACTGAACAGTGACTAACTGATCTAACTTGTAGTTAACCTAGTTAAGGCCTTAAAACGGCACTAAGCTGAAAACTAGTACCTTGCAAAATTATTAGAAATATATTATGTACTATTATTATGGTAAAGACTAAAGAAATTAGTTATCAGAGATGAGTTATTAAAACTTGTGTTTTTAAAAATTGTGTTGAAATATCTTCTCTCCATTATAACACTTTGGAAATATTTAATAAACATATACAGTAAATCAATTATTACAGTATGGTATACAGCATATTTTATGATTTAATTATATTTGTTTACATTTTAAAAAGCTGTCATGAACAAGGACATATTTACAAATATACCTCTACCAAATTATATGACCAAAGAATGACAACATTTTTATGTTACTTTAACTTATTTTATTAAATGAATTGGGTTTCAACTTGTTTTTTTTTTTTTTTAGTCATACAAAGTTTAACCTAATATTTTTATTCAGTTTGACAGAGTTGAGAGATGAAAAGATGAACGAACAAAAAAAATTTCAAGCAGCAAGAGTTTATATATAGTTCTGTCTGATTCTCGAATCTGATTGGCTGATAGCAGCGTGATAGGTCTTAATAATAATTCGAGAATCAGACAGAACTATATATAAACTCTTGCTGCTTGAAATTCTTTTGTTCTTTTTTTATTTTTTTTTATCACATTTAACAATATACAGTTAAAGTCAGATTTATTAGTCCCCCACCCCCCCTTTGAAAGTGTTTTTCTTTTACAAATAATTTCTGAATTGTGTTTAATAGAGCAAGGAAATTTTCACAGTATGTCAGAAAATATTTTTTCTTCTTATTTGTTTTATTTTGGCTGAAATAAAAGCAGTTCTTAATTTTTTAAAAACCATTTTAAGGTCAATATTATTAGCCCCTTTAAGCTATATATTTTTTTCGATAGTCTACAGAATAAACCACCGTTATACATAGTCTACAGAATAAACCACCGTTATACAATAACTTGCCTAATTACACTATCCTACCTAGTTAATCTAATTAACCTAGTTAAGCCTTTAAATGTCACTTTAAGAAGTGTCTTGAAAAATATCTAGTCAAATATTATGTACTGTCATCATGGCAAAGATAAAATAAATCAGTAATTAGAAATGAGGGCTAATAATTCAGGGGGTTTAATATTTCTGACTTTAACTGTATAGCAACATATTTCATTTTAGAAAACATTCATAATATTTTGGAACAGTAAATAATTAAAATAAATCATTGACTTCTGCTATCTTCAACTTCGAAAGCACGGTTTTCTTTACAACACATAACAAAACACCTTAGGAACGTTATAACAGAACATTTTAGCGGTTTTAAAACCTTGACTTTGTCCGAACCGCTGTAAACCTTGAAACAGGTTCTCATCCCATGCCTATGTATACATTTGTGTATGTATGTGATATGTTTTCTTATTTTTCATGTGCCTAATTAGTGTATAATTGTGTTTTCCTGATACTTTAGAGTGTGGTTTTATGGTTTTGTTATATGTATATATATATATATATATATATATATATATATATATATATATATATATATATATATATATATATATATATATATATTTGTCTGACCTAAGATGAACTAAATGAAACAAAAGAACAGTAGAAATTAATTGAATTTTTCATTTCCACTAAGTAAACCTTGAGCGAAAATAAAATGGCAGCATGGAAATATATCCTACCTATTGATTTCATCCACACACAGAGCCCCGTTTTGGCATGGCTGGTCACGGCACTCGTCGATGTTGATTTCACAGCTCTCGCCCTGGAAACCCGCCAGGCATGTGCACGTGAAGCCATTGATGTGGTCATGGCAACTGGCGCCGTGGAGACAGGGCTGTGACTGACACTCATCAATCTCCAGCTCACAGCTGCTACCTGCAACATCACAGACAGCGGTGCTGAGCGCAAAACATGCCAATCCGAGATCTCGGCATGGCTTATTACACATGCCATCTGGACAGACCTCATCCCGGATCAAACAGACTCAAACTGGAAGCTCGCAGTCAGCCTTTAGGGTTATTGATATGCTGCCCACAGCCTTTCCTGCACTTGATCAGCAGTGTTTTTAAAGCAGATTTGAACACATCGTGTGTGTGTGTTAACAGTGTTTTGTTGTTACATGAGGAAGTTCAGAAGTTCCATTACACACGGTTTTGCTTTATAGTGCAGTTGGTCGCAAACACCTAGATTAAAGAGATGAATTCTTCCTTAACATTTACACAAACGTTTATGAATTTCTTTCTTCTGATTAAAACAAGAGATTCTGGAGATTGTTGGAAAAAATCAGCCCCTGACATTCATGGTATAAGCTATGGAAGTCAATAGCTGTGTCTTCTAACATTCTTCAGGGATAAAAAAACTCACCTATTTAAACTTAGGTTTTAAAGCAGTGGAGGATGAGTAACTAATGACAGAATTTTCATTTTGGGTGAATTAGTACTTTAAAATCTTTTTTGTGTGTGGATTCTTTCAGCTAAAAGATTGATATCTTGTTTTGTTGTTGTTGTTTTTTACACTTACTAAAACTATATCTCTAGATTTGAGTACTAATTCTGGTGTAACATAAGCTTCTCAAACAGTGTGTCTATAAACACGAAGTGTATATCAACAACTTACTGCATATACTGTACAGTTGAAGTCAGAATTACCAGCCCCCCTGTTTATTTTTTTCCCAATTTCTGTTTAACTGAGAGATTTCTTCAGCACATTTCTAAACAAAATATTTTTAATAACTCATTTCAAAAACTAATTTATTTTATTTTTGCCATGATGACAGTAAATAACATTTGACTAGATATTTTTTAAGACACTTCTATACAGCTGAAAGTGACATTTAAAGGCTCAACTAGGTTAATTAGGTTAACTAGAAACGTTAGGGTAATTAGGCAAGGTATTGTATAACGATGGTTTAATCTGTAGACTCTCGAATATATATATAGCTTGAAGGGGCTAATAATTTAGACCTTTAAATGTTTTTATTTTTATTATTATTATTTTTTTTATCAAAAACAGCTTTCATTCTAGCCGAAATAAAGTAAGACTTTCTCCAGAAGAAAAAAATATTATCAGACATGATGTGAAAATTTCCTTGCTTTGTTAAACATCATTTAAGAAATATGTATATAAAAAAGAAAAAAAAAATCAAAGGGGACTAATCTTTATCTCAAAAAATGTTTGGGAAATAATGATGAAATCTTCAGTAGCATGAATCTTAACAGAACTTGACTTAAAAAAAAAAACCTTGAACTATTACATAAAATGTGTTTATAGACCACAAAACCATGTCCTACGTGCACATTTGAAGGGTTTATTGGTTTGTTAGAATATAACAATATTTGGCTTGGAGATCCAACGATTTGTTAACTTTGAACCTGAGGTAAATATCTGTTTAGTGTTGCACTGCTGAGAACATTAATAGTGTTTTTTTTTTCCTCTTCTGGAACCTGATCTTTATTTAATCTTAACCCTTTGACTGCCCCTCTACCAATGATTGACCATACTTTTACTGTTTTAAATAATTACTGTTAAAATAATGTAAAGAATGACTGTTTTAAATAATGGTTTACACACACAGCAAACATGATTGCTTCTACACTAAATTTGGATTTTAATGAAAAACAAAAAAACAAAAACAAGAAAACAAGAGAATCTGAAAAATTTTATGAAATACTTCAAAAAATAAAGCTTTAGTATTCAAAAATGTTATTTTATTTTAGGTATTTTAGGTATGCTTTTAAATAAATTGGTCTTACACGTCATATGATTTAATTCCAGTACTTTTACCATAAACCGACATATCTACCATTTGGTAGAGGTTGATATTTTAGAAATTATGGGATGTGTTAAACAAAAATGCATTGTGGGTGTTAACTAGTGACATTAAGTGTTAAGAAATGCAATCCAAACATTTTTTTTGGTGGGGTAGGTAAATTTTTTTTAAAAAGGTTATGGATTTTTGGCATAAAAATCTATCATTTGGCTCATACAACGTATTTTTAAGACTCTTCAAAGATGTTAAATTATTAAGATTTTTAAGAATTTGTAAATTTTGTGGTCACAAATGAAAACTCTAATTGGCTATTTAAACCACATCTTTACGTTTCCAACAGCAAATGTCAGAGCTCTAGGGTTGTTGGCGTGCTGGGTTTTTCTCCAAAATTGTAATATCATCTTTCAGCCACACGATGGCAGTGGCTACATTGGCCACTAGTTGAGACGATTCACATGACAGTCGCCATCAGGTTATTTAACTTGTAGGCTAGAAATAAATATAACCCCCTCTTATAAAAAGATCTCCCTTTGAAATAACGATGAAATAATTAGTCTCATTTAAAAAGTAAAACTATTAAATAAACGCGACAACTGCTTTTCTGAATTAGTTATTTTTCATCATCCTTTACAGGCCTGTTGCTAGCCTGGTGTAAGGGTGGGTCTTTTTTCTTAAAATGTGGGCCTTTTTGCAGTTTTTATTTTTTTTTGCCACATTTTCTGTTTAATTTTGAGGTTTAAATACCTTTTAAGAATTAGTTTTTGCTGGATTACCTTCAGATGGTCATTAACCACATTTTTTGATGTCCCAAAACATTTCCTAAAGATTTAGAAGAAAAAAATATGAGAATAACGCTTATATTTCAAATACAAATGTATTAGATCATGTATCATTAGAGGGCGACGCAGTGGTGCAGTAGGTATGCTGTCGCCTCAATGCAATTAGGTCTCTGGTTTGGGCCTCGGCTGGGTCAGTTGGTGTTTCTGTGTGGAGTCTGCATGTTCTCCCTGTATTCGCGTGTGTTTCCTCCAGGTTCTCCTGTTTTCCCCACAGTCCAAAGACGTGGTACAGGTGAATTGGGGTAGCTAAATTGTCCGTATATGAGTGTGAATGAGTGTGTATGGATGTTTTCCTGAGATGGGTTGCAGCTGGAAGGGCATCCGCAGCGTAAAACATATGCTGTTAAATTGGCAGTTTATTCCGCTGTAGCGAACCCAGATTAATAAAAAGACTAAGCCGAAGAGTAAATGAATGAATGACTATTAGAAATAAGAATGCTGTTCAAGCTTTAAATTAAAAACTAGACTACTGTCATTTATTAGATAAACACAAACTGGCCAGCACATTCTGTCCTCAGTCACTGAAGCAACAGCTAAAAGAAGATTCTGCTTGATCTTAAAGCCTTCTCCGAAGGTTATTTTCACAGTTTATTATGAAATAGCAGTCCAAATAGGACAAATGAGCTCAAGTATGTGATTCTGGAGTGGACCTTTGTTAGTGAGGGGTGGGTCTTTTGAACCACCAAACCCCCCTGGCTATGGGCCTGCTTATATATATATATATATATATATATATATATATATATATATATATCAGACAGTCTGTCTATTTATCAATCTTTATCAAATTAAACTGCTGAAAAATAAATTGTGACCATAGACCACAAAACCAGTCATTAGTGTAAATCTGAGATACAACTATTTGATGACCTGGAATATGAATAATCACCCTTAAAGTTGTCTACTCATGAAACATGGTCTTAATATCCTAATGATTTTGGCATAAAAGAATACAATATATTTTTGGCTATTGACAAAATACATCCGTCCAACATAAGACAGGAATTTGAACTCTAATTATCTATTAAAACTGCATCTTTACGTTTCCAACAATAAATGTCAGAAGTCTTTGATCAAACAATGCTGGCTTTTTCCCTATATGTAAAATCATCCTTCAGCCACAAGATGGCAGCGGCTACATTAGCCAGTGGTTGAGACGATTCAGATGGCAGGCAGGCTGTGTTGGAAATCCCGCACATAACCTTTTTCAGAATTCCCTGCAAAAGTTTGCAAATAGAGTCCACTTAATAGAGAGAATGAAAACTATAGTGAGTGAATTTAGACACTAAGAGCACTTTTGCAAAGCTTGTGCGTACTGATTAATAACAACAGCATCTAAAACCATGCAAAATGGCAGCTCCAGTAACGATTAGCATTTCTTGAACTGTTATGGAAAATAGCATATACACTTTAATTAAACAATTTTATAATCAGTTAAAAAGAAATATGTCACTTGTTAAACCAGAAGTGTGGAAAATGGAGGGATGGAGGATGATTCGGCTCTGGACTAAATTAAACCTAATTTTAAAGCTGCCGTAAGATGAGGTTTAGTTTTCTTTTATATCAAAATTCTCTTCAGGACCAAACATTGACCCCCCACCCCCCACCCCGCAAAACCAGCTGTACTTTTAATGGCATTTGATAACTCTGTCTCCTATTTCAGGAACTTTATTAACATAAGTGTACAATGAATGGGTGAATGCATAAACAAATATTTTAAATCACTGAATGGATTAAAATTTGGCAATAATCAGAGGCAACTAACGAATCTATTTCCAAAAAAGTTGAAGCACCCGATCCACCTAATAAAGACCTTCAGACTTATTTGAAAATGTGTACATGTTGGAGAAGGGTTGGAACTAAACTCTGTTGGACTGTGGCCCAAACTCAGCAGTGCAGTTTGACACGTCTGGTCAAACAGGTGAGTGGCACTTGGCAGCAAAGCATGAGACCCCCCTTTTCTCTCTCTCCCTCACTTCACCTACCCATGTATCCAGGCCTGCAGAGACAGATGTAGTGCCCGATCTTGTCCACACAGGTGGCTCCGTTTCTACAGGGCCTCGACACACATTCATTCACCTCAATCTCGCAGAGCTGGCCCTGGAATCCTGGCACGCAGAAGCAAGTGGGCCCATTCCTTCTGCTGCGGCAGATGGCGCGGTTTCTGCAGGGGTTAGGAGAGCAGTGGTCCACCTCTTTTTCGCAAGATCTTCCAGTGTAACCCTCCTGACAGATGCATGCGTACCCTGGGCTCTGGTCTCGCACTGCCAGACAGTGGGCACTGTCCCCACAATGCCCCTGAGCGCAGAGCTGGGCACTGGAAAGACAGTCCTGCCCCAGCAAGCCGGAGTCACACTGGCAAACTAGTTCCCCTGGGTGGGCGCCGGTGGGTTGACATGTCACATTGCCCTGGCAGATGGACAGTTGGCAGAACGTACTGGAAGAATCACAACGCGTGCTGGGAAAGACTGGCACAGTCGTCTGACACTGGCACAGGAAATCAGACAGGGCTTCCCTGCACTCTGACTGGTGTTGGCAAGGGTTGTCCAGGCAGAGTGTTGAGGTCTTGAGTAGTGTTACACCTACAAGGATAAAAACATGGACATTTAGACATTTGTTTAACATTCTGCTCCCATAAAAAGGAAGAGCATGCAGCATAGTTATACTCTTAAAGGGAAAGTTCACCCAAAAATGAACATTCTTACCATTTATTCGCACTCAGTTAGATATAAAGTGTTAAGCATGAAAGAAAATATGCTGAAGAATGCTAAAATGCTTTCCAACATTCTTCATAATGTCTTTTTTTTTTTTTTAAACAAGAAAGAAACTCAAACAGGTTTGAAAAAGGGGAGGGTTATTAAATAATGTCAGAATTATCTATCCCTTTAAAGGTCCCATGAAATTAAAATAACATTTGTAGATGGTAGTATCAGTATTACTAGAATATCTACTGTATAAGCGAGTGTGCTCTAGAACAGGGGTTCCCAAGCTTTTCAGCCTGCGACCCCCGAAATAGCAATGTCAGTGACTCGCGACCCCCATTTTTCAAGGTGGTTATACTGTAAATATATTAATGTTGCAGACACATCTATAGGCATATATAAACATGAGCATACTGACAACAAAAACTGCAACAGTCTATAACCATATATTGTTTTTTTTATAGTAATTTATAATTTAATTACATTTTAATCTAAAAATTAAAGGCTGATGGCTGATTTTTATTTGTATGTTGTTGTTTCTTTATCGCAACGATTAACTATCTTCTGTGGGTTATGAAAAAAAATGGTACTTTAAATAGTTTAATAACATTTATTTTAGTTTTGGAAATCACCAAGTGACCCCTTGTCATTGTCCTCTGACCCCCACTTTGAGAACCACTGTTCTAGAACAGAGACAAAATTTGTGTTTAGGAGATATAAAACATATATGTAAAGCCTTTATTTTGTTACTTCCACCTAAATGGTATTATTTACATCACCTCTTACTACAGATTCTCTTCAAATCATGACCAATCAAATGCTCTCTAGTGTCTGACATACCCCACTCCCTTCAAGATGAGAGCTCTTGAGCTCAACCACTCTAAGCGGTGATTAAAGAAAATGCTATTGCTGTTTTTTTTTGTTTGTTTTTTTTTTTAAGGAGAGGGGCTACAACATGTCCCGCCCTCTATTTGTGTTGTGGTTTAGATTACATCAAATATGGAATAAAACACATATTTTGAAGCATTTTATGGGACATTTAAAAGGCTTTAAAAGTAATACCATAGACAATCAATTCTGGGTTCTCCAAACTTTCCATGAACAGTTCTTGAAAGAACCCCTTTTAGTGTTAAAAACATTTTAATAATCTCAAGAAATTATTTTTACTAAACAAAAGTTTTTTTTTTTATCCATGTTAAAGGTTCTTTACGCAACACTTTCTTATGATGGCATTAACTCTTGCAAAATAAAAAAAAGGTAACAAATTGACTTATGCTGAATTATTTCAAGTCATGTCAACTCTGGAGGATATGCTCCACACCAGTTCCAAACTGTATGCCAACCTTTTTCATCAGAACTGATTAATGTTTTGTTAACTCTTCAACTGTAACAACTGAACATACTCTGATCAAAGTTGAAATGATTGCCTAGACCCCATAACCCTATTTGTTATTTATTTGCTTTATTTTATTTACTCTTTTATTTTCAGTTTTATTATTGGAGTTATGTCGAGGCAGTGGCGCAGTAGGTAGTGCTGTCGCCTCACAGCAAGAAGGTCGCTAGTTCGAACCTTGGCTCAGTTGGTGTTTCTGTGTGGAGTCTGCCTGCCTTCACATGGGTTTCCTCCGGGTTTCCCCCACAGTCAAAAGACATGCGGTACAGGTGAATTGGGTAGACTAAATTGTCCCTAGCGTTTGAGTGTGTGTGAGAAAGTGTGTGTGGATGTTTCCCAGAGATGGGTTGCGGCTGGAAGGGCATCCGTTGCGTAAAAACTTCCTGGATAAGTTGGCAGTTCATTCCGCTGTGGCAACCCCGGATTAATAAAGAGACTAAGACAACAAGAAAATGAATGAATTAATGTATTGGAGTTATTTATTTATACAATTTGGTTTTCTTTGTATAGTTTTTTTATTTATTATGTAAAAAAAGCTTTATATAATACTATATATATATATATATATATATATATAACTTAACTAGGTCAATTAGGTTATCTAGGCAGGTTAGGGTAGTTAGGAAAGTTATTGTAGAGCTTAAAGGGGCTAATAATTTTGACCTTAAAATGATTAAAAAAAAATTTTAATTCTAGCAAAATAAAACAAGTAAGAATTTCTTCAGAAGAAAAATTATTATCAGACATACTGTGAAAATTCCCTTGTTCTATTAAACATCATTTGAAAAAAATTCAAAGGGGTCTAAAAATTCTGAATTCAACTTGTATACATATATAATGTAAAGGGGTACTTCCTCTTTCGAGATTTCCTTTCACATAATACAACATTTTTATCATACAATTTTGTCATTAAGTGGTTGTTTTTAACCCACTACATTCAATAGAAAAAATTACATTACAGCTCATCAGTAGTCACATATGTTGTGCCTCACTGTCATTGTAAAATGCCCTTCAAAAAGTCAGAACAAAAGGCTACTGAGCTTTAGATGAATCAGCTAATGAGCCAAATGGACTTCAGAGCAAGTCAAACATCAGGTCATGGAGGCTTGGGCCTGTATTGTCCTAAAATAGCTTCTAAGAACAAGCAGTGATACTTCTATTGGTGTATTGGTGTCATTGTGGGATTTGCGCAAAGATTTGAAAATCAAATCCCACATACAATCATAGTTATCCATTCTGGGCTGTTGCACATGAAGGTACACTTTATTAAATGTAAATGTAATTTCTTTGCAGCTATTTTAGAAGCTATTATGATCTTGTGCTGCGTTGTGTATATTGCTATGGGGAATATGAGCTTTGAGCACCCATAATCAGATCATGGGGTTTATGTGACTGCATGGGATTAACCCATTAGTCTTATCTACTAAGCATAGCTTTGTTTGCTAGACCCCTTTAATGAGAGCACAGCAATGATCACTACCATACGTTTGTACAAAAGCCATACACTAAAATGACATCCAGTTTATGAGCAAAAACACTTTTACCAGGCATATTTAGTTCAAGGATCATTTGTCAACACAAAAAGACCTTTTTGAGTTTCCTTTTTTTTCTGTTGAACACAAAAGAAGATATGTTGACAACTTTTGGAAACTGGTAACCACTGACATTGGAAAAACACATGCAATGTCAATGGCTACCAGTATTCAACATTCTTCAAAGTATCTTCTTTTGTGTTCAACAGAGAGATGAAGCTCAAAGAGGTTTGGAACAAGTGGTGGGTGGTGAGTAAATAATGGCAGAATTTTCCTATTTGGGTGAACTGTCCATTTAAGACAGTGGTTCTCAAACGTTTTTCATCAAGTACCACCTCAGAAAAAAATTGTCTCTCCAAGTACCACCAAAATGAGAAGTATTGAAATACAGTAGCGTAGTAGGCCCAGTGAAGCAGCTACAACTCTGCACATTAAAAAAAACCGTGGCAGATTAGCCTTAAATATAGGCTATATGGCATATTATATAATAAATTTTAAAATATATGTAGCATGTACATGACATATTTCATTCCTCTGTATACCACTAGAAGGAAGCCCGCGTACCACTAGTGGTACACGTACCACAGATTGAGAACCACTGCTTTAAGTGAAGTTGCTATCTTTTAAACCTTTAGATTGTTCTCTACTGTATATGTTGAAATGAAGTAATATAGGTCAAAATATGTTGTTTTGTTTCCACATGAATCAGACTGTTACACTTTATGATTATTATTTCACCCATATTTTGGCACTTTGCATTCGTAATCGTTGTTTTATAGCACTTTATAGCATCTGTTTTTATGTATAATGTCACTTGGTAAATTTCATTGCCTTGAGAAATGCTCATCCATACTTTTTTTTTTTCACTTTTCTGTAGACACAGGGTGATGAATATACTTGCTCAACTGGAGCCTTTGTTCAACACTACATTGACAAAACAATCAGATTGATTACGTCATCATTGGTTAAATAATTGTTATAGATTGACATTTACAGAAGCTTTTCTCCAAAGTGAGTAACATTGCACTTTAAAGGGATTATGTGTTTTTAAATAAACACTCCACTTTTTAGTTTTGAAACGGGCTAATTTTACAATTCCCCTTAAAGTTAAACAGCTGAGTTTTACCATTTTTGAATCCATTCACTTGATCTTTGACAGGAGTCATTTTAGCTTAACTTAGCATATATCATTGAATCAGATTAGATCATTAGCATGTAATTAAAAAAATTAAAAGTTTTCAATAATTTTCCTATTTAAAGTTTGACTCTTCTATAGTTACATTGTGCACTACAGAAAATGAAAAGTGGCTATTTTCCATGTCGATATGACTACTAACTTTACACTCATATTGATAAAGGATCATTGATGTATTGTGGTTGTACCAGGCACAATGATATTATGCAGGACTGTTAACTAGCTGGTGATTGTTTTAGACACTACATAAAAATCAATGCACCTGCTGCAGGCATCACTATACAGCAGGGTGTCATACTCGGTTCCTGAGTTTAGTTTCAACCCTGCTTCAAGACACATACTTGTAGGATTCAAACAAGCCTGAAAGACTCAATTAGTTTGATCTGGTGTGTTTAATTAGGGTTAAAGCTAAACTGCAGCCCTCCAGGAATGTGAAACCGGCCCTATACAGCCAATAGTAATTTTCCATTTTCGATTGTCTTAGTACAGGATGTAACTGCAGTCAAGATTAAATAGGAACTCTTAGGTAACTCTTACCTAAATAGGAATAGGTCTTGGAGAGCTGGTGTCCTGCAGATTTTAGCTTCAACTTGCCTCAAAACACCTGCATTGATATTTCAAAACTTAATGCTGTGTTCACACTAGAGTTTGTGCAGGTGAAATTCTGTTGGCACTGAGAAATGGGCGAATTAAACTATATAATTAGACATTTAAAAAACCAAGCAATTGGTCCATGTTTTAAATTTCTGTCCAAAGAGGT